CTGAAGAAGAAATGTCTGTAGAGATGAGGATGGGAGGAGCCATAGAGAGAGACTACTGGGGTCACAGCAGCTATTGAAGTGAGAGAGGGGAACCATGGAGGGCAAGGTGGTGTCACTAAAAAGAAAAGGAGAGAGGAACTATGGAGGACAATATGGGGTCATCATAATGAAGGGGAGGAACTATGGAGGACAATATGGGGTCATCATAATGGAGGGGAGGAACTATGGAGGACAATATGGGGTCATCATAATGGAGGGGAGAAACTATGGAGGACAATGTAGGGTCATCATAATGAAGGGGAGGAACTATGGAGGACAATATGGGGTCATCATAATGGAGGGGAGGAACTATGGAGGACAATACGGGGTCATCATAATGGAGGGAGGAACTATGGAGGACAATAGGGGGGTCATCATAATGGAGAGGAGGAACTATGGACAATAGGGGGGTCATCATAATGGAGGGGAGGAACTATGGAGGACAAATATGGGGTCATCATAATGGAAGGGAGGAACTATGGAGGACAATATGGGGTCATCATAATGGAGGGAGGAAACTATGGAGGACAATAGGGGGGTCATCATAATGGAGGGGAGGAACTATGGAGGACAATAGGGGGGTCATCATAATGGAGGGGAGGGAACTATGGAGGACAATGTTGGATCATTACTGGAAAAGGAGAGGAAAACCAATGAGAACAATTTGGGGTCACTATGGGGGGAGGGGCAATGCAGGGAACATAAAAGGGGGTGACAAGGTACATATTTGGGGGGTTCTGGAACAGAAAACTATTTCTTTTTACTTTCCCCAAACAATGTAATAGGAGGACCCCCAGACACCCCATCAGTCTGTATGGAATGGGGCAGATCCTCGTACTATAGAGTGATGGCGGATGTAAAGGAGATTGTACAATCAGATTGTATCGTGTATGGTCACCTTTAGGGCTCATTCACACCAACAGTCCATCTGGCCATACACTAGTAGGTTTTCCAATGACCGTCCGTACAAACATTCATGTGACAATTGTCATCTGTACCTCGGATGACATGACCAATGTCCTTCTCATTTCCCTGGGGAAAACCTTTGTTTTGGAATGAATGGACTTTCCTGAATGAAACCTCATTCACTGCTAGAAACGTCTTCATTCCGGAAACGTCTTCCATCATCTTCTCACTGCTGGAAACGTCTTCATTCCGGAAACGTCTTCCATCATCTTCTCACTGCTGGAAACGCTGAAACGTCTTCTTCATTTCTCACTGCTGGAAACGTCTTCCATCATCATCATTCCACTGCTAGAAACGTCTTCTTCTCTTCCCCTCCCCCATACATTCCCCGTCCTCTTCTCACCCCTCCCCCATACCTACCCGTCCTCGGCTTCTCACCCCTCCCCCATTCCTACCCGTCTTCTCACATCCCCTCACCCCCATACATACCCGTCCCTTGGCTTCTCACCCCTCCCCCATACATACCCATCCTTGGCTTCTCACCCCTCCCCCATCATACATACCCTGTCCCCGGCTTCTCACCCCTCCCCCATACATACCCGTCCCCGGCTTCTCACCCCTCCCCCATACATACCTGTCCCCGGGCTTCTCACCCCTCCCCCCATACATACCTGTCCCCGGCTTCTCACCCCTCCCCCATACATACCCGTCCCCGGCTTCTCACCCCTCCCCCATACATACCTGTCCCCGGCTTTCTCTCCCCCCCCCCCCTCCCCCATACATACCCGTCCCCGGCTTCTCACCCCTCCCCCATACATACCCGTCCTCGGCTTCTCACCCCCCCCCCATACATCCCCCTCCTCCTCGGCTTCTCACCCCTCCCCCATACATACCCATTCCCCGGCTTCTCACCCCTCCCCCATACATACCCGTCCCCCGGCTTCTCACCCCTCCCCCATACATACCCGTCCCCGGCTTCTTCACCCCTCCCCCATACATACCCCCCGCTTCTCTCACCCCTCCCCCATACATACCCTCCCCGCTTCTCACCCCTCCCCCATACATACCCCCTCCCCGGCTTCTCACCCCTCCCCCATACATACCTGTCCCCGGCTTCTCACCCCTCCCCCATACATACCCTCCCCCTCCCCCCTCCCCCATTCTCACCCCTCCCCCATACATCCCTCCCGACTTCTCACCCCTCCCCCCCATACATACCCGTCCCGGCTTCTCACCCCTCCCCCATACATACCCATCCCCAGCTTCTCACCCCTCCCCCATACATACCTATCCCCCCAGCTTCTCACACCTCCCCCATACATAGCCCATCCCCCTCCCCCATACACATCCCTCCTTAGCTTCTCACCCCTCCCCCATACACATCCCTCCCTCAGCTTCTCACCTACTCCCCCATACATACCCCCCCCCCATACATACCCCCCTCCCAGCTTCTCACCCCTCCCCCATACACTCCCCCCCCCTACACCTTCTCACAGCTTCTCCCCTCCCCCATACACATCCCTCCCCAGCTTCTCACCCCTCCCCCATACACACCCCCTCCCTAGCTTCTCACCCCTCCCCCATACACCTACCCTTCCCTCTTCAGCTTCTCACCCCTCCCCCATACATACCCCTCCCCAGCTTCTCCCCTCCCCCATACACACCCCCAGCTTCCCCTCCCCTTCTCACCCCTCCCCCATACACCCCTCCCAGCTTCTCACCCCCTCCCCCATACACATCCCTCCCAGCTTCTCACCCCTCCCCCATACACACCCCTCCCCAGCTTCTCACCCCCCCCCCATACACATCCCTCCCACCAGCTTCTCACCCCTCCCCCATACACATCCCTCCCCAGCTTCTCACCCCTCCCCCATACATATCTTACATTCAGTTCCCAGAGCTCACCATCCTCCCCCAAAAAATGATCCAATAGATCACCTACCTCACCTGTATGACCCAAATATCACCTACCTCCTTCACAAACAGATCCAAAAGACTACCTACCTCCCGGGACACAGATGACCCAACTCCCCAACAACCAGAGAGTTCCCAGACTACCTACCTCCACTGCACTCACAGATCACCTACCTCCCTTCCCTCACAGATCACCTACCTCCCCCATTCCCTCACAGATCACCTACCTCCCCCATAACCCCACAGATCCCTACCTCCACCTTCCTCCCCCATACACACCCCTTCCCACAGATCACCTACCTCCCCCATATACACCCAGATCCCACAGATCACCTACCCCCCCCCATATACACCCAGATTCCCACCACCTACCTCCCCTGCACTCTAGATCCCTACCTCCCCATACACCCAGATCCCACAGATCACCTACCTCCCCCATATACACCCAGATCCCACAGATCACCTACCTCCCCCCATATATACACCCAGATCCCACAGATCACCTACCTCCCCCATATACACCCAGATCCCACAGATCACCTACCTCCCCCATATACACCCCAGATCCCACAGATCACCTACCTCCCCCATATACACCCAGATCCCACAGATCACCTACCTCCCCCATATACACCCAGATCCCACAGATCACCTACCTCCCCCATATACACCCAGATCCCACAGATCACCTACCTCCCCCATATACACCCCAGATCCCACCTCCACCTACCTCCCCCCATATACACCCACTGATCCCCACAGATCACCTACCTCCCCATATACACCCCATCCCAGATCACCTACCTCCCCCATATATCAGTGTCCCCCCCAGATCCTCTGATCAGATCACCTACCTCCCCCACTCCCATATCACCCCTCCCACAGATCACTCCACTCTCCCCATATACACCCACTCATCACCTACCCCCCTGCCATATACACCCAGATCCACATCACCTGTCCCCCCCCTCCCCCATCCATCCCTGACCTCCATCAGTCACCTACCTCCCCCTCATGCCATACCCAGATCCCACAGATCCACCTACCTCCTCCCCTCATACATACCCAGATCCCACAGATCCTACCTCCCCTCTGCCACCTACCTCCCCCTCTGCCATACCCAGATCCACAGATCCTCCTCCCCCATATACCCCAGACTGATCCCACAGATCACCTACCTCCCCCATATACCCCAGATCACCTACCTCCCCCATCCATACACTCCAGTGTCCTACCCCCCCTGCACAATCCCTTCACCTACCTCCATTCAGTGTCCTCCACCCCTCTCTGCCATCCCCCAGATCACCTACCTCCCTCATGTCCTCCACCACCTACCTCTGCCATATCCCCTCATCCTCCACTCAGTGTCCCCACCCCTCTCACCTACCTCCCCCACTGACCTCCATTCAGATGTCCTCCACCTCCTCCCCCCTATACACCCAGATCCCTCTACTGGCCTCCATTCAGTGTCCTCCACCCCTCTCTGCAATCCCTCCATCTGACCTCCATCCAGTGTCCTCCACCCCCAGATCTGCCAATCCCTCCACTGGCCTCCAGCTCCAGTGTCCCTCCCCCCTCTCTGCCAATCCCTCCACTGGCTCCGCTCTCAGTGTCCTCCACCCCTCTGCCAATCCCCTCCACTGGCCTCCACTCAGTGTCCTCCACCCCCCTCTGCCAATCCCTCCACTGGCCTCCACTCAGTGTCCTCCACCCCCCTCTGCCAATCCCTCACTGGCCTCCACATTCAGTGTCCTCCACCCCCCTCTGTCAATCCCTCCACTGGCCTCCACTCAGTGTCCTCCACCCCCCTCTGCCAATCCCTCCACTGGCCTCCACTCAGTGTCCTCCACCCCCTCTGCAATCCCTCCACTGACCTCCGCTCAGTGTCCTCCACCCCCCCTCTGCCAATCCCTCCACTGGCCTCCACTCAGTGTCCTCCACCCCTCTCTGCCAATCCCTCCACTGGCCTCCACTCAGTGTCCTCCACCCCCTCTCTGCCAATCCCTCCACTGGCCTCCATTCAGTGTCCTCCACCCCTCTCTGCCAATCCCTCCACTGGCCTCCATTCAGTGTCCTCCACCCCTCTCTGCCAATCCCTCCACTGGCCTCCATTCAGTTCCTCCACCCCTCTCTGCCAATCCCTCCACTGGCCTCCACTCACTGACCTCCACCCCTCTCTGCCAATCCCTTCATTGGCTTCCACTAACCCAATGTATAAAATTCAGAATACTAACCACACCTTACAAAGCCATCCACAACCCCCCCCCCGGCTACATCACCAACCTCATCCGCAGATATTGCCCACATCGCCCGCTCCTCCCAAGGCATCTTCCTCTCTGGTTCCCTCGTCACCTCCTCCTCCCTCGCTCACCTCCAGAGCCTCCCCCTCTCCTCTGGAACTCCCTACCCCAGTATGTCCGGTCAGCCCCCACCCTGTCTGCCTTTAGGTGATCTTTGAAAACTCACTTATTCAGGGAAGCTCACCCCACCCCCACCTAAGAACTGTACTTGGGTCACCTCCACCAGACCATCCCCCGCAGCTATCACCTTCTGTACCACCTCCCCCTTCCTCTAGATTGTAAGCTCCACGGGCCGGGCCCTCCTATCCCTTCTGTACTGAAATGTATTGTAATTGTACCGCCCCCCTTATATTGTACAGCGCTGCGCAGACTGTTGGCGCCATATCCATCCTGTATAATAAAATGGTGGTGGGAGATCGGCCTGAATGTCCTTCCTAGGAGGGAATACCGGAGCCATTCTGAGGCCCATTTAATGGCCGGCAATGAGGAGGAAACCAACACTGAGAAGTAGATGCTGAGATATATATATATATATATACATGTATACACGCAGATCGTCTATAGCCGGGACAGGAGCCGGGACCAGGAATAGGAGATCCACCTGACTTACCCGTGTGCTCTGACATGGAGAAGATCCCATGCTGGCCCTATGGTGGCCGTGTGTTCAGGATGGAGACCGACAATCTAAAATGGCTGAGAGGAGGAAAGTGTTCCCAGGACAGGAAGTGACACAGGAAGTGACAGGAAGTGACATAAGTGGAAGTGACACAGACAGGAAGTGACAGGAGACAGGAAGTGACAGGTACAGGAAGTGACACAGACAGGAAGTGACAGGAAGTGACACAGACAGGAAGTGACACAGACAGGAAGTGACAGGACAGGAAGTGACTCCAGACTGATAATACAGAGGGGGCAGTATGAAGAGCAGACACTAGATGGTGCTGGTCCAATTAGATAAACAAATATAAAAAAAAAAAATTGATAAAAGAAGAGAAAAAAAAAGGGGAAATGTGTGAAAGGAACACAGAAAAAAAGGACAAAGCACAAACCCCGCTGGGACTCCATGCTGTCCGCACTGAACTGTTGGGGAACCAAAACAGTAAAAAATGAAAAAATAAAATAAAGAAAAATCAATCAGAGGACAGAGCGGTGAGCGGGTTGTTGCTATTAGTGACGAGGTGAGCTGCGCTGTGTCCCGGATACAACACACGCCCACGGCGACTAGCTATCTCTGAGTGATCCTAAAGGGTCTGGATCAGAACTGGCCAGCAGATCGCCCTGCAGATCCACTTCATCCACTGGCCACCGACTACCTACTGGAAGGGTACAGGCAAACCTGTCATTGTGTTCTGTCATCATCTTCATCCCCTGGCCATGGTCACCTGGTGGGTCTCTATTAGTTACCGCACCCAGATGTTTGAGCCTGGCATAAGGTCGTTCCTGGGTGATCGGTCAATGTTCCCCCATCATCCTGCGGACCTTCCTCTGCTGTGCACAGCAATGAATCCTCAATCATGATACTCATAGCTGTGGGGACAAAGGATAAATCCACAGAAGACTTATTTCCACCAGAAGTCATCCTCTGACCCGTGCCACACCCTTCTACTCTGTCCTCCTCAGCAGGACGTCTGTCAGCACCACCCCTGAGCTCCTCCGGGCCAACATCAGATCTATCAGCCTGGAAGTCCTCAGTGATGTCAGCTGCAGCTCCTGAGGTGGAAGACACTGATTGGGCTGAATTTGCCCCAACATCCTGCTGATGTCAACACACAGAAATCCCAACATCCTGCAGACTTCCCTCTGCAACACACACCCACGTAATGAGTCTGCACTGGCACACCCGGGGACTGTGGTGACCCACGAGGGGAAAGAGACAGGAGGGGTTGTCCTCCGACCCACGTCACACACCAGGGGTTGTCCTCCCCACCACACACCAGGGGTTGGACCCACGTCACACACCAGGGGTGTCCTCCGACCCACGTCACACACCAGGGGTTGTCCTCCGACCCACGTCCCACGTCACACACCAGGGGTTGTCCCTCTGACCCACGTCACACACCAGGGGTTGTCCTCTGACCCACGTCACACACCAGGGGTTGTCCTCTGACCCACGTGTCCTCTGACCCACGTCACACACCAGGGGTTGTCCTCTGACCCACGTCACACACCAGGGGTTGTCCTCCGACCCACGTCACACACCAGGGGTTGTCCTCCTCCCAACCCACACGGGGTCCTCTGACCCACGTCACACACCAGGGGTTGTCCTCCGACCCACGTCACACACCAGGGGTTGTGTTCCGACCCACGTCACACACTTCTACCCCATCCTTAGCCGACCTTCTGTTGGCACAACACCTGAGCTCCTCTGGGCTGGCATCAAATATATCCACCTCTGGAAACTCAGTGCCGTCAGCCGCAGCTGCTGCTGAGGGAGTAGAGTCAGATTTAAACCCTCACCGTGTGTGGTCCCTCCTCTGTGCTCCACAGTCCAGGATCCAAAATGGCAGTACTGGTATCTGTGGTGACAGGGGAGCAGACAAAAGAAAAACTTCCTCCCACAAGGGGATATAGAGGCACACAATACGGGTCTATACTAGGACTTACTGAAACACAATGTGCCTCTTCACCAGGTACTTCAGAAGAACATTCTATTTTCTTTACAAATGGGTAAAAAAACAAATTCCTGTTGCCTGTACACCCTCATCCTGCCATCCACTGCTGGTGGTCCTTCAGCCAGAACCCCGAGATCCTTCTCTGCTGCCATCAATTTTTACAGCCTCAAGGGACTCAGAGCTATCTGCCACAGGTGCCAGGTGGACACAACATTCTGAGGAGACCTCAGGCTCTCTGGGCCAGGTTCAGAGGGGTCTGACCTGAACTGATCAGCTCCCTCTTCAGACAGTTCCTCTGTAGCAGTGGGCAGGGGCCAGGGTGAGGATGACTGGTGGGTGCTGAGGGTCCTCACTGCAACAGAGGGAGGGTCTGCACTGCACACGTCATGATATTTTACATCACACAAACATTGTCAGTTTAGAGTCTGTTGTGGTTTTAAGTTCTTCCCCAGGCCTTGACTCCAGAGAACCACTAGGGCCAGGACCTGGTACATGGTCATTCACCCCCTGACCCTCCCCAGAATTCTCAATGTGCACTGAATCACCCAACAGTACGTTACATGAATCCGGGGCCTCAGGTGGAGATGTAGACCTCAGAGGGGTTGACTTTGGCTTGTTTTGGGCTACCAACTCCCCCAGGTCAGTACCCGACAGTATGTTAGTGGCATCTGCTCCACCCACTTCTCTCACTTTGTTTCTGGATCCTTGGGGCAAAGCAACACAAGCTGTAGGTAGCACAGAGGTGACTCCTCCAACCCCACCCCTGATAACTGTGGCTTCCTTTGTGACCACATCCTCACATCTCCCCAATCCTGGAAGAGCTAGGACATCCTCAGGTCCCGTATCTCAGAGTCCAGCTGAAACATTGTTACCTGCTGTAACAGGCTGCATGCTATCCACACGGCCTCCTTCATTGGTGGGATCTGCTCCGCCCACTTCTGTCACTTGACTTTCAGATTTTTGGATCAAAGAAACACAAGCCATAGACACAGTAGGGATGGCTCCTCCACCCCGTGTGACAACCATGGCTTCCACTGGGATCACATCACAGCTCAACTACCCTACTCCTACATTTATGTTACACCCCTCCCCCTCTCTGAGCTACCAGAATAATATGGAGGATGCCCTTCCCCCTCTCTGAGCTACAAGAAAATGGAGGAAACTCCTCCCTTTCACTGAGCTACAAGAACATGGAGGACACTCCTCCCCCTCTCTGAGCTACAAGAACATGGGGGACACCCCCCCTCTCTGAGCTACAAGAACATAGAGGACACCCTCCCCCTCACTGAGCTACAAGAAAATGGAGGACAACAATCTATGAGCCACAAGAATATGGAGGACACCCCTCCCCCTCTCTGAGCTACAAGAAAAGGAAGGACACCCCCTCCCCCTCTCTGAGCTACAAGAAAATGGAGGGCACTCCTCCCCCTCTCTGAGGTACAAGAACAGACACAGACAAGAAGCTGAATGAGAAACTTCTGGAGAGATCAGGGAAGAAGGGGGCCATGGAGGGGGGTACAGGGGGACACTAGGGGTGGGAGGAAAGGAACCATGGGGGGGGGGGGGCAATATGGTTTCACTATGGGGGGAGGGGCAGTACAGGGAAGATCAAAAATAATCAGCTGATGGAGAACTTTTCACACAGATACAACAACAAATTCAGCAGAAATGCGTCTAACAAATGATGACTGATCTGCATGTTCATGAGGGAAAGAAGGATTTGATATCCCCTATCATTCAGCAGGATTTCTGGCTACCAGGTGTCTTCATACAGGTAACAAGCTGAGATTAGAAGCAGTCTCTTAAAGGGAGTGCTGCTAATCTCATTGTGTTACCTGTATAAAAGACACCTGTCCACAGGAGCAATCAAACCATCAGATTCCAAACTCTCCACCATGGCAAAGACCAAAGAGCTGTCCAAGGATGTCAGGGACAAGATGGTAGACCTACACAAGGCTGGACTGGGCTACCAAACTATGGCCAAGCAGCTTGGTGAGAAGGTGACAACAGTTGGTGCAATCATTCACAAATGGAAGAAAACACAAAACAAGTGTCAGTCTCCCTAGGTCTGGTGCACCATGCAAGATCTCACCTCGTGGAGTGTCAATGATCATGAGAACAGTGAGGAATCATCCCAGAACTACACGTGAGGAATCTTGTCAATGATCTCCAGGCAGCTGGGACCACAGTCACCAAGAAAACAATTGGTAACACACTACGCCGACAAGGACTGAAATCCTGCAGTGCCCGCAAGGTCCTCTCTGCTCAAGAAAGCACATGTCCAGGTCGTCTGAAGTCTGCCACTGAACATCTGAATGATGCCGAGGAGGACTGGTGGGAAGTGTTGTGGTCAGAGTGAGACCAAAATCCAGCTCTTTGGCATCAACTCAACTCGCCGTGTTTGGGAGGAGGAGGAATGCTGCCTATGACCAAAAAAATTTTTTCTTCCCTCACCCGGGCATTAAAAAAATATGGGGTTTGGGGTGGATGGGT